TGCTACTTGCTTTCGTGCCCACAAAATGATTGTTTCTGGTCTCAATCCTTGTTTCTTGTATTTATGTTTATTTTTCCCCCTTTGAGCCAAGTGATTAGATGAAAAATATATTCATTTGATTTATTTTGCCAACATGTAGGAGCGAGCAGCATCAGCATTGCGTGCTAGCAGTAGTAGAAGGCAAGCTCCAACTCCTCCAGATAAAGAATCTAAACCTAAAACTGAAAAAATACCTTTTATCAAAGAACAGGTTCTAGTTGGTATCTACAATGTATGCATCCTATCTTTTCCTGCCTTTGTGGGTTTTATCATGATGCGAATCGGTATGCTTATGATTCATGAATGTTTCCTGCAGGATGTATTTCCCTGCACCGCTGAGAAGATTCATAATTTATTATTGAGTGATGACTCTAGTTTCACAAACGAATATCGCTCATCACGGAAAGACAAAAATCTTACAGTAAGATAAGATCATTTTAGTATTCTTCCATGGTTATTCTATTAAACATGCCTTTTGTATTGTAGTGCAGGGTTTCAAATCGAGGTCGCGTTTTCGGTTATTTCGGATTTACCGTGATTGCGGCCGTCGCGGGTAACTCGGACGGCGGCGAAACCGCTATATCGCGGTCGCGGACCGTTTTTTGAAACCCTGTTGTAGTGCATTTTATGCTGATATGCTTGTCTTAGAATCATTTATATTGCTTGTAAAATCCAACTGTCGAGGTTAAACTTGATTTAAACATCTTCAAACTTTTGATGGTATAAAGATGGCATCTTTTCCCTCATATAAATTAGTGGTAATCTTCCCAGGGATTTCTTCATCCCTAGTTGAATGAATTGAAAGTTTGAACTCACTCTGCTGTTCTACTTTCAGATGGGACAATGGCATGATGCAGATGAATATGAAGGTCAAGTGAGAGAGATTACATTCAGATCCATTTGTAACAATCCTATGTGCCCTCCAGACACTGCCATGACTGAGGATCAGCATTTTGTTTTATCATCAGATAAGAAAAAGCTTGTATGACCTCTTTTTTTTCGTCCATTCAGTAATTTATTATTTAATAAGCTTAAGGTTGTCTTACTTCCTTAGTGAAAAAACTTTATTGTTTATACATATGTTTGGTTGCTTCTACGTCTAGAGAAAAAAACATTATTTGCATCTTTATTGTAGATTCTATGTTTGGTTGATTTAATTGAATTTAGTCAATTTCTCTTTTCTCGTAGGTTTTTGAAACTGTACAACATGCATATGATGTCCCATTTGGCACCTACTTTGAAGTAAGTATTAGCTGGGTATCTTTCTTTTGATTTGGAATATAGCTTTATACCCCACATTTTTGTTTTGTGCAAGGTCCCTGTAGTCTCACTGTTGCCTGTGCAAGCAATATTCCCCTTCTCTCGTTGTTTTCTGGTCTGATTTGGTTCCTCACTCCAATGAATAAATAAATCAACCTCTGATCCCAAAATAAGCAAATAAATAAAAGATATCCACGGGTTGTTACTTATAACAAAATCCTCCTCTATATCTGTGTCATATTCTTTGAGGAAAATAAACTGAACTTTGATCCATGGAAACCGAATAAATCAATCCTTTTAGTGAAAGCATTGCTACTATTGGATTTAATTTTGTATATACTACAAAATAGGAAGTGTGTCTACAACTAACATTAGTATTACAGATGATTGATAACTAATCTGCTCCATAATGCACGGCTGAAAACTTATTATAACACAAGTCCAATCAATAAGGAAAATTGTGGCTCTCATTTTGCAAAAGGAACTTTCCTTTACACCAGTTTACTTACTGGCTTTTCACGTGTTTGTTCATAATGCATATCATCCTCACTGCTAGTAATCATGCATTTATCTTCACCTAAGTCCGTCCAATAAAGAGGGAAGTTGCAGAAGGAAATTTCCCTTTTGAACTGACACATCAGTTCACTTGCTTGCTTCAAAAAAAAAAAGTTCACTTTCTGGCTTTGCATGAAATTGCTTGTAAACTTTCTTCACTCTTACTGGTATTGGTCATAACCTATAACCATCTTCTAGCCTTTCCTGTTAATTTTCCATCGGATATAAAGTGGAGAGTTAAGAAGGTGAGCCAAAGGAAAATTTTCTATTGTCATATTTAAAACGAGTGACCCCTGTCAGCTACGATCAAACCCATCTTGCAGATTAACTGGTCACTTGTCAACTGGCAACTGGAATTATGTTCAATGTAAGATTAGACCAAATATATGAGTGACATCTTATATAATTGGATATTAATTATGATTTGTTGGATATATCATTATGGTATGAACGACTTGGTATGAGTAACAGTTCTAACCTCTTGGAAGAATTATCAACTTATATATTCGTGTTTTTGTGTGTGTGTGATGTTTGCTTGTTTCTGTTCTAGTTTCAACGTTAAAATTGACACCATTTTATTTGTGCTGCATCAGGTTCATTGTCAATGGATTGCAGAGACCAATGGTGAAAACTCATCTACTTTAGATATCAAAGCAGGCAAGTATTGTTCCCTTTAAAATGACATTTTTTATGGTACATATGGAGATTATGGTACCAATGGCCATACAATGAACGACCCTCCCGCATTCTGCTAAATCCAACTCGCTACTTTCACATAGTTCAATCTGAGAGTTGGACTCTTAAGTTCGTCACTTGGGTGCATGGTTTTCAGAACCGGACCGGTTAGCGAACCGGTCATGCTATTGATTTACTGGTTCAACCGGTCGAACCGGTTCGACCGGTCGGACGACGTCATAATTATTTAAAAAATTAAATAAAAATACCAAAAATATTTAATAAAAAATAATTTTTTATATCACAAGTCATATTCAAAGCAAGTCATAACATATATAAGTTAAAAACCAAAAATCAAGTGAAACAAAATGATTCAAATTAACTACAACATAATATTTAAGGTAAAACATATTAAATAATAAGTATAATTATATAACTATAATTAAAAAATAAATTTTGGGTTAAAAAATCATAACAAAATGATATTGTTTGGTTTAATTTTTTTTTAAACAATCCCACATGGCTAAGAAACATAGAAGAGCATCCCAAAAGTCTAAAGAATAAAAATATGAGAACAAAACAATCTCACATTGCTAAGAAACATAGAAGCGCATCACAACTAACTTCTATAAATAATAGAGGTAATTTGACATTCAAAATCATGGAGCCTTTTGGTGAGCATTGAGTGAACTATTCTTTCACTTCAATCAAGCTCGAATTTTAGGCTTCAATCGAGCTTCTAAATTTTTTTTGAGTTTAAGCCTTTTTGAGTTCAAGTTTCAATATTATATTTCGAGTTTGAGTTGAACATGATAATTTTTAGCTTGTGAGTTTGAGTTGAGTTCAGCCTTTTAAAGTTTTCAAGTTCGAGTCGAGCTCAGCAATACTTGAGTTCGACTTGGCTCGTTTAACAAACGACGTTGTTTGGTTTAATTTAAAAAAAAAAATCCCGGTTTTCCCGGGTTTTTTTCGGTTTTCAGCCGGTTCGGTTCGAACGGTTCAGCGGTTCTGGCCGGTTCACTAATAGCAGTTCAACCGGTTTAGATTGAACCGGACTAAGTAACGATTTCCGGTTGAACCGGCTGGTCCGGTCCGGTTTTCAAAACAGAGCTTGGGTGTGTCCCCTCGGGACATCTTTTGACATTTTTGCTTTGGATTTAGTTTTGCATCTAATCAAACTATTGTTGAGATATGGCCTTCCAGAGACTTTTGTCTCTCATTTCAAGTAATGAACATCTTCACTATCTTTTAGCAGTTTTGAGTTTGAAAACCTGTGTTTTCTTTTCCTCAACATCAATGAATTAAACAAATTGATGTTTTAACTTTCTGTAGGTGCACATTTTAAGAAATGGTGTGTGATGCAATCAAAAATTAAGTCAGGCGCTGTTGAAGAGGTATTGGTTTAAGCTGAACCATGGTCTCCACCAATCATATTGACGAATCCCATACTTTGAAAACTTTTTTTCTCCCTGCTTTCATATTAGCCTTAAAATTTAGTATTTTTTTTACCATCTTTGTGCAGTACAAGAAAGAGATTGAGACAATGTTAGATGTTGCCCGTTCGTTTATAGAGTCACGTACTGCCAGAGGTGAGACCAGTAACTCGTCGTCACCACCCTCAGTTACAAACGATATCATCTAACTGGGGTAATCAATTTCTTCCTATTTTATTGTATGATTTCTTATATATATATATATATCTTTTTGCAATGTTCTATATGGAAATGTTAGTCTTATGTATAGGTACCAGAGTTTTTTTTTTTTTTTGCCAAGGTAGAGTTATAATGTAACTTAAAAAGGTTCCAACGGAAGCGAAAGGAAAAGAGAGTGATTATTGTAATTCATTTTCTCAATGCAATAGGCAAAAGGCAACGTTAATGTTCATATTTAATGAATAATCTATGTTATCTCAAGTTTCCCCTTAAACGTTGGAGCTTCTTTAACCCTTTTATATTTGAAATATATGAATTATTTTAGAAAATAATATATTTTGGTCAGTCCAACATGATATGTGATAAGTTGGTAGATTAAGATATTAAAGTTCAAACCTTTATAAAATAAAAAATAATATAAATTCCTTTTGCTTATACATATAAAAGTATATATGTTTGGAATTCCAATATTGTTAACTTTTTACAAAATAAAATAAATGTAAAGTTACTGAGAGAAATATATGCCGGGATGAAGCTATGTTTCGGGGCGTTACCCTCAATTTTTTATTATTAAAATATATATGAATATATATTCATTTATATCTATCTCGCATAAACTTATTTTAATATGTGTATTTATTTTTAAAAAAATGTTTTAAAATTTATCATTAATATACACCCCTTGAGCTAATTATGGCCAAATTAGAGTAATCATATTTGGTCCGCTGATTAAGTTATTCGTCTTTATCTTCTTATATTACTTTAGATTATGAGTTCTAGACTTACTATGAATTCTTTCTTTCTGAAAATCTTTTTTTTCTTTGTTTAAGTAAAATTAAAATTAGATTTAGAATTAAAAAATGTTAGATTATGAGTTCTAGACTTACTATGAATTCTTCCTTTCTGAAAATCTTTTTTTTCTTTGTTTAAGTAAAATTAAAATTAGATTTAGAATTAAAAAATGAGAAGGTGAATTAAGAAAATGCCGTTGGGAAGATGCACCATGTGTGTGGTAGTCCAGTAGAGTGAGAAAACTTTGACCTTCTAAAATTAACAAAAAAAAAAATCCAAACTCTGCATTAACGCCATTGTTGAACTTTGACTTTCACATTTATATGACCTTACTTCACTGACAAACTTCTCAAAATTCTCACCGACTGAATTTTAAGATAAATCTCATATTACAATATAATTTTATATTTTTAGTTTAATAATATATGAGATTTTTAAATTCTTTCTTAAAATCTAATGTAATTCTCAAATAATTTAATTTTGTATTTTATATAATCTTTAATTTGAAAAAAGCAATTAATTCGACTCTTTGACAAATAAAATCGAATGTTAATCGTTATAATAATACTAACATAACAACGTTAAGATAATATTCCATGATTCTAACCATTGGTAATTCGAATTTATTGTCCATTCTGAAATCCGAATTGTAGTTACCTACTCTGTACAAAAAATTTATATTATTAATTCATCCCAACATTGAATGTGATGATGATATACATGTATGTTATGTTACCCGAACTCAATTTTCAGTATGGGATGAATCCAACATGGGCATGTTCAGTTGTATTTAGATAATCTTTGAAGGTCATATCCCTAACACATGGTGTATGCTTTAAGATAAATGAAGAGTGGGGACAATATAAGATAATATTAACCATGAAATTCGCTTCGGACACCAATATTAATACATACAGGTTAAAAGTAGCAATTCAACTCATCTTCAACAATCTACATTTTACATAAAACGAACAAGAGAGAGCAATCAACTTCTATAATTGAATAGACTAAATGCAGCTTAATCCGAGCACCGGCTTAAAACTACGAAGGTGCCAGACTGCATTTTCCGATACCAGAATCCTACCGATCAAGGCCTAATAGTTTTTGCCTACTAACATCCTGTATTAGTGCTTCATGCTATAAATTTGCATCAGATTAGAAAATTTTGTGCATCCGATATTAAGTTGGCTATCTTTTGAACTCCATTCGAGTGATGTTCAAAGACTATTGGTAGCCGATGAGAAATGTCAATTGAACGGTGAGATAGCCTTGTCGAATTTCTGCGATGTGGTCTTGATGGGAGCCCAAATATCGGCACCGTTGCTATGAGCAACTCCGGCGGTGTACGATATTGGAACGAGGCATAGTCCTTGGCTTCTCAGGCTATAATGCTCTACATCCTGGAAGAAAAACCGATTTAAAATCTGACCATAAGTTTCCAATGATGGCTCCCTAAATTCATGTTTCTATTGTGTTTCAGCATAAATGGTGTATCCAACGCAGATATTGTACCAAATCAGTTTTATAGTGAACAGGATTGAGAAATGGTTTGAGTACCTGGTTTGGTTTAATGATCGCTTGCATGTTACTTAACGACCCGGTTTGAAGATACGGAGCACTCAAAACCTGAGCATGGTCATAGGCTCGTAGCCATTAATAATGTTACAATGATCATTAAAATCATAAGCCAAAATTGTGCAAAGAATGCTGGACCGAGACTGCAACTGGTAAATCGTAAGGCATTAATAGGCTGTATATGTTCACTGAATTTTCAATTGCTGATCTTTAGAAGCATGCATTTAGAAATTGCAACTAAAACCAACTGACACACATGCTATGATAATTTAGGTAAAACGGACAAGAAAAACCGACCTTAACTTGTTCGTGAAGAAACTGTATGTATTCCATTGCTTCCAAAAGAACAGAAGCTGTATCTGTCTGCAATGAACCAGATAGAGCTTCAAAATCATAGCAAGATCGGATTAAGCATATGTTTGTAGGCAAAAACTCCAGTGGATGCACAAAATTCATATTGCCGAACTGATAATGCCCATAATATTGGATGCACAAAATATTAATGTACCTTTCCGTATGGTGAAACAAGCTGCTGCAGAGTCACGATTCGTTCCCCGACCTTATCTTTCTTATCCTATTGCGAAATGGAGTAAATTAGGATTATATTAGCTACAAACCAACCATATCCAATTTAATACTTAGTTTTAGTATGCATAGAGAAGAAATGAAGAGATAAAACTCTGCATTTCAAGAAACCAAATTGACATTTCAGGTAAAATAATAATAGCAGAAGATGCAATCGCGACCATATTCGGGAATATAACCCCTAAAATACGTCAAAAGAATGTAGTTTATGCCATGCGGATATAAATTAGGCATCTTCCTCAAAAAAAAAAGGCGAGTGGTTCCTTCAGTATAGTTATGAAATGACTAAAAATTGAGCAGAGAAGGCTAAAAACCTTTGTGGGGATCGATAAGTCGGACTTCTGTCGTTTCAATGCCAAAGAAGTGAAACCGCTATGATCAACAGAGCAAGGGCTCCTTTTGTTTTCCAACATCGTTCCGATCTCGATCACTTTTTCACTGGTTAAAACAAAGTAAAAAAAAAAAAACACACACACACACACACACACACACAGCATCACAAGCTGAAACAACACCATAATCAGAAACTCATCTGACTTCATTCATCAAGCTGAACAGTCATGAAAATAATATCAAAGATATCCAATGCTTAAAGACGGAGATTATGGAAGAACGTTCATTGTACTAATATAAGACCATCTAATCAACAATTGAAAGCTTTTAAATCATCAGCATCTAACTAATGTGACATGAAATCATCCAGGTAAGCATGATTAAATAAACCATTCAAACTTTTTTACACATTTTCCCTCAATTCTCACCTCGTGTCGGATACTCGAAAACGAGCTGGAGTGAGCAAAATGGAAAATTGATACTTTAGTTGAGCAGTATATTTAAGTCAGAAACCAAGGAAGAACACAACCAACTTGAAGCATAAAAATCAACTTAATCTGATTCTCAGTTCACACCTTTAGCATTATTTGAATATGATAAACTGGGAGGAAAATCCATTCTTTGGTCAGCGGATAATCATCCATTAATTTAATCACAACAGCATAATTTAAAACAATATCTCTATGATTATATATTAACTGTAGGCTTACAAACAGACAATAGTTGCATGAATCAATGAAAAACAAACATATAAAACATAAAAAATAAACCAATACAAAAACGTAAATTAAATCATTCTTGGGACAAGTCAAAACTCAAGCAATATATCATATACACGTAGTTACAAACCAGTTACAAACCAGTTACATGATTCAATTAATCGAACGGTGGAAAAAGTGTGATCATTAGTGATTATCTAAAGAATGATCTCTAGTGGGACCAGTTTCTGAAAAGGAAAAATTGAAAAAAGAGAAAAGAAAGAAGCCATATCCATGCATGGATGAACCATAAAGACACCTAATTTGCAGTTTAATTAATAAAAATGAATAGCAACCAAATTTTATTTTACTCAACATAACTATGATTAAACAAATATTTTTCAAGATAACATTGAAGCATCCGATAATACAAAACAACAGCATGCTTGCACTCCCAAGCAAGCAACTCCAGTTTCATTAAAACCAAAGTATCATTTCAAAATAAAAACAAAAACCCAAAAAGGTATGTGTATATAAATTGAATAAACATTACAAACAAAGCTGCTTTAAAGCAAAAGAAATGAGGATTTAAGCAACTCACCAAGAACATAAAGTTTGCATTGGCCAAAGAGCTGAAACTCGGGCTTTGTACTGTAGGTTGAAAATTTTGAGGACCCAAATTCAAACAAAGATTTTTGCAGTTTATTGAAGGAAAGGCCCCAAATTCCAGAATTCAGTCGTTCTAATCTTGTTCAAGAAAACATTGAAAACAGTAAACTTTTCTGTAGGGAACTTTAGTGCCAAAAAAACCAAGTTAAGAACTTTAAGAAAAATCCAAAATCTGCAAAAACTTTAAACCCCAACACTGGTAAAGGCTCAAAGAAGCTGAAAAAGAGTGTGTCTGGGAAAGAGATGCTGGTTTGTTAAAGAGTTGTTTACTTTTTATAGGATTTTTTTTAAGAGATTGTGGAAGAAAATTTATGAATAATGAAAATATATATGAAAAAATTGTTATTTGACAGCTAATATCCAACCATGCAAAGTGACATAGATAAGAGTAGTTGATTTAACCTTAGATTTATTGTCCATCTTTAATTTAATTTAATTTTTTTTCTAACCATGGTTGAAAGTGACTAGTGAAATCTCTCTGCTTCTGCTTTTACATTTTGTCTTCAAACTTTCTTTTCAAACGGCTTCGCTTTTCATAAATTACTGTTTAATTTAGCTACCGAATCCCAATAATTGAAGATTAAAGATATTACTGTTTAAATTACTCGTTAGTATTTTATTCTTTAAAATTTAATATTGTAGACATATTGCATAATTTTATTATGATATTTATTAAATAATATTACAAATATTATATATGTGAAAAAGAGAGTGAAATATACGCGTGCGTTTTATATCGTTAAAAAGAGATATTTAAACAGGAATATAATTATTATAAATAATTATATTTAAATTTAAATAAAAAATAAATAAATATGTTTAGTTTAACTTTATTTAAATTTTATAAACTCAATTGGATTTTTTTCACAAAAAGTTTTGAATGATAAAATTATCTGATAAATTTAACGTCAAATTATTTTTCATTCAATCAAATAACCATCGTACTTGATTTAAATTTATATTCGATACATAGATAATGTATCTTTTATTACACCATCCATGAAATTATGAGATATAATTAAATATTTTCAATATTAAATCCTCTATAATAATCAATTATTTTAAATTAGATTTTATAAAAAAAATATTTTTATGAGATAATCATCTTCAATCAATTTACTTTATTTATAAGTGTTTGTAATTGGAGGGTGTGGATATCTTTGTCAGAGCAGATTCAATACCCAGGTTGGCGGTTTTTCTGGGAAGTGGGCCCCCCATCCTTTGTCCGAAACCACCTTCCTCCGATGCTTCTCTCTTTCCCCTCCAACGCGCTTTATTCTCAAGTCTCCTTGTGCTGTGTGGACCGACTATCACACGTGGCAGGATCAACTGAGAGCGTGTCATTCAAAACCATCACCAGAAAAGTGGGGAGAGGTGGGTGTCACTTCGACCGTGCGCAAAAGAAGTCTACGAGGATTTAGTCTTAAAGCTGGGAGGGGTCAGATGTGGTTGGGACCCACACGGTTTCGATTTTTCTATATATATAGTTTTATATTACAGACAATTACATAAAATATAGTATCATTTTTTCATGTAATTATTTAAAATATTTTTTCAATCAAAATATATATTTAAAGTTTTATTTATAGTTAAAATAGATATTTAAAATAGTATTTTATTGAAATAGATACTTAAAGTCACTGTTCTAAAATAAAGAATAAAATGACAACGTTTTGAAAGATTTTAACATTTTTTAGAGAAAAAAATGGACTCTACCTTTTCAAAAAATATTTTATAAAATATTTAATAAAAAAATTTAAAACTTAAATTTTCCACAAACACATCAACACTGTAATTTAAAATAACATTTTGACTAAAGTTGAGTATTCGATGTATTTAAATCAAGTCAAGTAAAAAATTTCAAGTTAACGAGTCTTATTTTATAATTTAAACTTTACTACTTGATCACATCTAATAATTCGAGATGCATTTCATTTTAGTCCTCGTATATTATAAATTAGAAGCTGATTAATTGATACTTTTAGTTCCTAAAATTTTTGCAGTGAATTCATTCTGCTTAAATTTTTAATCTCTAGGAAATAACACAAATTATTAACTTAATGGTTCTCTATTTTCTTTATTTATTTTGATTAAGGCTCATATTCATCTCTTATGCCATAAATGTGTATGTATCTCTAACATAAAATTTTCAACTTATTTTTTTATTAATTATAAATTATGTATATATATATATATATATCTAAAAAGAAGCACACTTTTAAAATTATATGTTAAAGTTATGTTTATTTACTTTAGTGATATATTTATATATTATAATTTTATGTAAAATATGTACACATATATTTTATTTTATTATGTTATGTTATGTTTATTATTTTAGTTTTCATTTATCTAATTATCTATTTATGTTATAAATGTATTTTTACTTTGATGTATTATCAAGAACACTCGTCGTAGAATGAAGTAAATTGGGTTGGGAGGGCTGTCCTAGCCTTTGTAGTATTCGATCCGGATTAGCCGATCAATAGATCGGAAACCAGTGGTTTATACCAAAAGAACATTCGTCGTAGAATAGACGTGAAAAGCACAACTTGTTCGAAGTGGTGCGATTCGACGACATCCAAACGAAAATTAAACTTGATTAATTTTAATAAAAAGGACCGTACTTTAATTTTTGAATTGAATTTATAGTTTTCATCTTCATGACAAAATATAAGTGACTAAGTATCAATTTTGGGCGCTATGGGGTGCTTACTCTCCCTCACGCATAATCGTCTCCCGAACTCTTTAAATTGAATTAAATAAAAATTCAAAATTTCTAGAAAAGATTAATGGCAGGTCTAAATTTCAAATTAAATAAAAATCTAAATTTTCTATAAAAAAAAGTCATAATATTTTTAAATTAAATTAAAAAAAATGGTTATGACAAGTTCTATTGTATAACTCTACTCAAATTTGAAATCTTTTCGAATCAAGTTGAGTTTATAAAAGTACGAGTTGACTCGAGTCAAGTTTAATTTTTTTTTTAATTCAAGTCAAGTTTTACTCACCCCTAGTTATGACATTATAATTTAAAATTTATAACTCTGCCTCTGTATGAAGTATTTAATTTTTTTTCATATGAGTACCTAAAGTATTGTTTAAATAATATTATATGTTAACTTTTTTTAAAAAAATTTAGATAAAAATTTAGATACTTTAAAGTTTAAATACATATTTTTATTAATTATATTTGATTGAGGAAGTATAATATTTCTAAATTGATGTAGTTGAATTATAAGAAATTAGAAAACATGAATTTAGAAGACTGCAGTTAAGAAAATCGAGGATAAAAATTTAGGGTTTGACAATGACAAATATTTTAGAATTCCTTTTTGTGCGCAATAAAAAACCCTTTCATTTTGGAATCTAAACACTACAGCATGTAGGAAAAAAGATAATACAGTGAAATAATTAACCACAATGGGAAAAAAAACTATACTTTTTTTAGAGAGAAGAGGAACTTGGCCGTTGAAGGGAGAGCAAATTAAAGGTTAAATTAATTTAATATTAAAATATTAAAGGTAATTATAAAGTAATATTATTTAAATAATTTTTTAATTTTTTAATAATATATATAATAATGTATATGTAATTGCTTGAATATGAAATTTTTAAGAATAACTAAATTCATCTTTACCACATATACAATTCAATTGGTTCTCATATTTTACCTTAAATTAAAGGGTAAAGTACACATATGGTTATTCAACTATAGTGTGTTGTTTTGTTGAGCTCTTCAACTATTAAAAGTTACAAAACAACCCTTCGATTATATATCATTATTTTTTTGAGTCTCCCAACTATTAAAAGTTACAAAATGATTATTCCACTATTCATATGTTTCAAACTCGTCTTTTTCCATTAAAAATTTTACTATAGTTTGAGCTAGAGGCTAACATGTTGACTGAGAGATGATAAAATATGATATGAAAATCTTAAAAGAATATCATATCTCATTCAACTTATGAATGTCTCGTTCACATAAACGTTTTTTTAACGAAAAATGACAAGTTTAGAATAAATGAATAATGAGTGGTCATTTTATAATTTTTAATAGTAGAGGGACTCAACAAAGCAATGCCTTAGAAGTTTAGGGATCATTTAGTAATTTTTAATAGTTTAGGGACTTAATAAAGAAATACTATATAGTTGGGTGACTATTTGTGTACTTTGCCCTAAATTAAATAAAAGGTAAATTGTATCTAGGATAAGCTAATGGGTTTAGAGAAGAAGCAGAGGGCTCGGCCAGCCCGGCAGTGCCGTCCAAGAACATTTGATTGCTAATCTTTGCACATTGCCGTTGCACTTTTCTCGTCATACAAAAAAAAAAATATCGTTAATCTCTTTCATTGTGTTCCCCAAATCCAATCATCGAAAAGCACATATAAAGAGGATGCAAGGGCGTAGCAGAACTAGAATCGAGGTACTAGAAATGGTGGTTTTGGACATTCTCTCAAATCTTCATGTTAAATCCTTAACAAGCTTCAGGTACGTCTGCAAGCCTTGGTCTTCATCTTTTCGAACCCCTCATTTCATTTCCAAACATTACCAAAACAACCTCAGAAAAAAAACCTTAATCTCCTCCTCAAACCTTGTCAGTTCCGAACCCAAGTCACCCATTATTTCTCCTAACTTTCCATCGAGAAAGGCCAAAACTTTACAGTCAAGCACAACATTCACTTACCCGTTTTCGAGCATTGTCGCTCTGTTCCTGCAGTTTCTGGTCCTTGTAATGGATTGGTGTGTTTAAAAGAGGATAAGGTTTCCCTTTGGAATCCTTCAGCTAGGGAGTTAAAAATTCTTCCTATATCCTCTGTCTCCCGCCCTCCTTTAGCAGATTTCACTAGTTTTGATTGCCTTGGTTTTGGGTTTGATTCCCAGATCGATGACTATAAAGTTGTAAGATTTGTTACTAATTATTTTGAACACAAGGAAGATGTGAGCAGAATTCCTGATTGGAATCACCAGGTTGAGTTATATTCCCTTAAAAGTGATTCATGGAAGGAAATTCCAGCTCCTGATATTTATCCTTATGATGGTCCTCCTGAGTTCAATATTTATATAGATGGATGTTATTATTGGCAGGCAAGTGGGAATTTTGATTACCTTTTTCTTTCGTTTCACATGGTTAATGAAAAGTTTTCGACTTTACCGTTGCCTGAATTTGGTAGGTTTTTTGTTGGGCAAGTTTTCGTTTCACATGGTTAATGAAAAGTTCAATAATGTTATTGATTTGTAATAAATTGATAACCAAAATTATCGATTTGTAATAAATCAATCGCTTGACATTAACAACCGTTAACATGAATGACGGAAAACACGTTAAATCAATTACTTGACACTGTTTTACCACAAATTTGATTCCCCAAAACTTGTGACCGGTCTTTTTATTCTCTCTTTTTTCTTCGAGTGATGAATATCATAACACAATCACCATGAAAATGTTGGAGAGCTCACGTTGCAATAGCTTACGGCCAGAAACCACCCTAATTGGTGGAGCATCAACACCGAAAACCTTTGCATGAATGAACGTCTCCTTTACAGATATAGTATCAGAATGGCAAGACTTTTCTGTAAGCAGAAGTTGTAGTTTATCAGACTTGCAAAAGCTTCATCACCAGAATAATGAGCATTAGTGAGAAGCTATGAAGCACGGGGACGACACCTTTTTCCCGTTTCAGGTACCTACCTGATACGTTCCAAACATGGGGACGGTTGGGGTACGTTTTGGGGACGTTCGAGACTTACCTGGGGACGTTTCGGGGATGACATGTGACTATCACATGCATCCCCAGGCTACCGAATAGACCCACGACGGCGGCGGATGAGAGCCAAAGCTCGTGGGTTTCATATCAACACAGCCCTACGTCGATGGCGAGGGTGGTCACAACGTGGAGGTTTTTGGACGATGATCGACGACCTACTTACCTTAAATCAGTAAGGACGGCGGCGACTCGAGGAGTTGTGGACGAGCAGAGTTCGTGAATAACAAATGAAGAAGGAAAAGAAACAGGGGAGGATCGATTGAATTGTTAAAATAAAGCCATGGATTTGTGATTATAATAAAACTGGTATAATCGTATATTTAGTCCTCAAATATTCTAGGGTTTGCAAAATAGGTTGCATTCTTTACAATAATTACAATTTAGTCACGAAAATAATATAGGTATTTAAGCCAAAATTCCCAAATCTTAGGGTTTCTATTTTTCTATGAAGCATTGATTTTATGAGTTTTATTTTCTAATATTGTGATTTACTTATGGATTTTATTTTTTAGTTTTATGTGAAGTATTGATTTTATTTATGATTATTTACGTCTATTTATAATTTAAATTTTTTTATATGACATACTCTTGCTGTCCCCGTACCCTGTAATTTTAGGAATTGTCGTTTCCTGTCTCGGTCCCCATATCGGTATCAGTACAACATAGGTGAGAAGCTCCTAGAGAACAAAGTTTACTTTTATTTTTACTAAATACAATGTATTTTAATGATAAGAAAATTATATTCTATACTCTGTGAGGGTAAGATCAACATATGGAAAAGGGAAGATTAACATGGAAAGCACTCCTTGAACGCAACAATTCCTGCCAAACTGAGTTTGCAAAGGTATTGTCAAGAGATTTAAAATTTGAAACAAGCTTATAACAAATGGCTCCCATACTTTTACATCAAGAGTAAGCCACCTAACCTGAAATATGAAACATAACATATAACTCGCCTATTTCTCAGGATGGTAAGAGTGGAGTAGAAATTATTTATTTTTTATTCAATTGACCCAATATATGCTTAACAAGAAAGGTATTTTCAGTTTTCTCAGGTCTTCCCATAAGCATTTGAACGGCTAAACCTGTTTCTGTTCTTGAACATGAAATATAGGGTTGGAGGTTCTTAGGTGATAACCCGAGTCCCGGAGAAGAAACTGAATGTCGAGAGCTTTTCATTGTTGATATGATTGTATAGAGCGACACTCCTTGGTGAAGATTGGGAAATGGTTTTTTGTTTCAGAGGATGAAAAAACTGAGGATTTGAATAAGGTGTTGATGCTGCACCAATTAGGGTGGTTGTTGCACTATGAGCTTTGGGGAGTCAAACTTATGGTAAAATAATGTCAGGGTCATCTATTTAACATGTCACATCAATTTTTTATTACTATGTTAATGAATATTAACTTCAAGTCACTAATTTGTTACAAATCGATAATATTAATGATCAATTTGTTACAAATCGATAATATTAATGATTAATTTGTTACAAATCGATAATATTAATGATTAATTTGTTACAAATCGATAATATTAATAACCAATTTATTACTTTTTAAAACTTTAATGGAGGAAACAAAAACTTATTCAAACATTAGTGACTATTTGTATAGTTTATTCAAATATTATTGTAATGCTTTATTCTACCTTAATAAAAGAAAAGAAAAAAAACTAAGGTCGATTGAGATTATACAATTTTTTTAACCATGATAATTATACAATTTTTAATAAGATAAAATTAGTTTTTCTTTTTTGCAAGAACAGTTTCTGTGTTGTTCTTAACCTTCCACGTCTTTATCAGGCTCCCATGCCATTATCCTTTTCTTGTTCAACAAATAAACAAAAACGTGTGATGTTTACCTGTTACTGTTTTTTGTCGTATTTCTTGTTTTCTTTCATTTAAGTCCTCATTTATCTTCCCCGAGATAAAATCTTGAATAAGAAACACAGAGGAAACGAAGAAATAAAAGAAGAAAAGGAAGAAGATGCAAGGGTTGAGCAAAACTAGAACCGAGTTACCAGAGATGTTGGTGTTGGAGATCCTCTCAAAGCTTCCCGTCAAATCCTTGACACGTTTCAGGTGCGTTTGTAAGCCTTGGTCTTCATCTTTCCAAACCCCCCATTTCATCGCCAAACATCAGCAGAACAACCTCAAAAACAACAACCTCAATCTCCTCCTCAAACGTTGTCACGGTAACACCCATGATGATATCCATTATTTCTCTCAACTTTCGACCGAGAAAGGCCAAAACTTTAGAGTAAAACACAATATCCACTTACCCTTTTTCAAGAATTGTTGGTATGCACCTTTAGTTGATGGTCCTTGTAATGGAGTATTGTGCTTACATGATGCTGGTAAGGCTGCCCTTTGGAACCCATCAACCAGGGAGTTCAAAATTCTTCCTCAATCCACAGTCCAACGCCCTCCTGCAGTAGATTCCACTAGTTTTGGCTGCCTCGGTTTTGGGTATGATTCACAAACTGATGACTACAAAGTTGTAAGATTTGTTACTAATTACTTTGAAGAGAATCTAGATGAAGGGTTGATGGCAGATTGGATCGAGCAAGTTGAGTTATATTCCCTTAATAGTGATTCATGGAAGGAAATTCCAGTTCCTGGGGTTCATGCTTATGGTTCTCCTTTGTTTAATAATTATGTCAATGGGTTTTATTATTGGCAGGCAGTTGGGGATTCTGATCACCTTATTGTTTCCTTTGATATGGCTAATGAAAAGTTTTCAACTTTACCACTGCCTGAATTTGGTGGGACTTTAGCACAATACTATTTCCAAATTTTGGACTTCAATGGATTGCTTGGTGCTATTTTTTACCCAAGAGAAGGAACTGACAAGTCTTTTGATTTATGGGTTATGAATGGATCATGGACTAAACAATTGAGTATTGAATCCCTTCCTAGAGTTCATAGGCCTTTGGGGTTTTGGAAAAACGATGAAATGTTTCTTGAGAGCTCTGATGATGAACTGGTTTTGTTTGACCCCTCCACACGAGAGCTTAAAAATCTCGATATCCATGCGTATAGGGAAACAATGCAGATTATTGCTTATGTTGAGAGCTTGGTTCCAATAAATGGAAGACAAGAGCACGAGGAACGGATAATACGTCGGCCAGCAGGAGGGGAATCAAATTGATATGGAACACTAAGATGGATGGGGAGCTACAACAAAAGAGGTAAGATTTAATGGGATTTGGTGTCTTGATATGTCAACTAGATTGTCTTGTGATGTTCTAAAATAATGTTGACTTGTTTAGGTTTCTGCTTGCTTTTGGTTGTTTCAGTGGATGGGCGAAATTGCCTCCAACAGATTTGCTTAGTTGTTAACTCTGATCTGCAGTTCTATTGACCTGCATATCATGATTTGCAGGTGCATATATATGTCAGACACAGAGTGCTTTTTGTACTTGAATTTGATTAAGAGAGCTCAACGTCTCCAATAGTTGAATGTAATTTGAAGTGGAATACATGAACTATTGTTATCGTTGTTGTTATGATCATGTCTTATTGGCTGTACTTTAGATCCAATGAAACAGTGTCAATGGTTTGGTGTTGTTCCCTTTGTGGAATATTTCTGGAAATTGTTCTCTTTTTTTTCTGCACAAGACTTATTTGCATATCTATAGAAATCCACATGAGCTTGTGTGTGTGCTCATAGAGATGGTTTTCATTTGTTTTAGAGTTAAATGGATTGCATTCTTGCAGCGGTCTTGTTCTAGGTTGTTTGTGCTTGGATGTGAGTGTCGAATGTTGGTGTTCTGACGAGTGTTTTAATGTAGTTGGAGGGTCCTTAGAGGACCATATTCTCGTACCTATTTCCCGAAATGCACGAACACGGGACATTGGATACGTACATATATGAATAGCAGTTACAGGATACCTGTTGAGTTTTTGGACAGATTGGTGCTCATCGGTTTGATGTTCTTGGTGAAATGAGATCCAGGGTAAAGGCCTTGTATCATACATCACATGACTGCAAAAAAAATAAATGGTTTGGCATCTTACTTGATCTGAAGATAAACGTACAAAGAAAAGAGCACCTGTACAGCCTGAAACCTTAGAATCTCCTTCAGTACTCAACATGAGCATAATTGGATTTCTTTTGCAGTGAATATCTATTTTTTTCTTCTCAATTCTTTGATAAAAATTTAATCTCCTTTCTTTTATTTTCGTGAAATAAGAGAGCAAAAATTATAGCAATAGAAGTCCAATTCGATCATCCGAGAAATGCACAATCTCTTCAATCCTAGCTTTTGGTCCTCTTTCTTCACTGCTCTTTGATGCTTTCATTTATAAACGTGTCAAAATAAATATGTTTAAATTTCAATTTAAGTAATATATATAAAAGTAACATATAAGTTTTTTTCTTACATTATATAATTTTATTTTTGGTAAAGTATATAAATAGTCCCTGAATTTTTAGGGCAGTTGCATTTTTAGTCACCCAACTTTTAGTTTGTTTTCGATAAGGTCCTACAGTTTCCTCTCGTTAGTTTTTGCTGATTCGACATTTAACTTCTGTTAAACCCCCACTTATTTTTATTCTCTTGTTCCTGTTCACCCCATCTCTGGTAATTGCACCTCCGGTCAACGATGTCTCACACCGTCATTACCATTGTCACCGATGTCACCTCCCGACCATACCCTGACCTTCAATTCATACTCACTATCCATCGTTCATCCCAAATCACAAGAATAATGTATTATTGAGATAATACATAAGTTATATAAATTGTTCAATTTTAGGCAAAAATAAAATAATATATATATATGTAACACTCTAATTTAGGGGCTAAATTTTAGAAATTATAAAGTTTTGGATTTAATTGGTATTTTGAAAGAAACGGTGGATTAAATTGTAAAATTTCAAAATTGACAAACCGTTTTAAGAAGTGCAGGAAGTTCAGTGACTAAACTCATGGTTTACCCATTTTTTATGAGATGAATTATAACCCCTCCCCATGTGTTTTCTGTAGATTTTTCAGTTTTTCTCTTCTCCCTCAACTCACCTTTGAACTCCGATCTACTCGTTGTCCGACCTCCGATCGACGAACCGAAATCACCATCGTGTTCATTGTTGACCGATGAACAAAACCCCTCAAACCTCTTGTTGTGAATTGGCGTCGTTTGTCGTTAATTTCAATCGTAAGTATCGTCGGTTTTAACTCGATTTCAGTTGGTTTTTCGTCGATTCACAACGATCCGACCATCCGTTTTCGACACCTCCCATACCATCATGTTCCTTGCATCGTTCCGAGTCTGCCGGTGTCCTCCGTTTCTCTGTCGTCGCCGGCGCGTGGAGGGGTGAGAAAGTCAAAGTTTTTTATGTTTCGAAATCGAGCTCTCCACCGTTCAAAATTGTGAACCGAGCTTGGTAAATGTCTCAAAATGCCTTAGAATAATTTTTAGAAAATTTTCGGGAATTTTTTCAACACCGTATCATTGTTCACGCGTCGTACGCGCCGCCATTGCGCGTAGGAGTGCTAATTTTATAATTAATTTTTGTTAGGGTGATATTTGTGTAAAACTTGAGTGTTAGTTTTGTAAATATTTTTAAAAGGGTGTTAGTTTTGTAACTAATTTCTGTTAGGGTGATAATTGTGTAAAACAGTTGACCATTGACCGTCGTTGACCACCTTTGACCAGAACTTTGACCGGTCATTGAACGACCGTTAACTTTTTCCGGGTACACCTATCTTGATATTTTTCGACATCATGAGTTCGATTCCGCAGTCCGTTTTTTGAAATTCAGACCAGAAAGCCTCGAAATTTCCAGTCAAACCCGTTGACTTTGATCGAAAAGTTAAAATTTTTAAAAAGTCATATTTTATGTTTTTTGACGTTCTGAATCCGAATCCGAATACCGTTTTGTTAAATTCAAACCGGTAAGCTATTTTTGACTGATTTATCACCCGATTCGATCTTTTTTTTTCGGAATTAAGCTTCGTTTTTTTATGTAATTTCTGTTGATATGCATCTGAGGAATTATTGGAAGATGATTTCAAGATCGAGGGCGTTCGAATGGAATTTATATGGTCGATCAATATGGCATGGAAAACGAGATAATACTTTACTACCTCTTTATGCTTTACGGAATATGTTGATATTGGTAAATGCATGAATAAGATAATGTTGGTCACTTATGTGGAGTTAATTAATGAAGTTCTACACTCGATACGAATGCAATAGAAAGTAAGTAACTAAATATGGCTCAGATGACTATTATAAGAAATTGGAAGACAATTGGAATTAAATTACAAGTTCTGGAATTAAGTGATAAAGAAATCAACCATGGATATGTAGATTATAATTTATCTTATTAAATATACTTGGATGATAAATTATGAGAATATTTCAATTAGGTAAAATTATGAAAATACCCATATGTTGTAAAATGACAAATTGTCCCTGAAAGTTGATTAATAACTCTGAAAAGGCATATTGATCTGATAAATTTACAGATGTGCATAAGAAATGCTAGTTTTGCTTGGGAAATTTGGATAACCGGTTTTTAACCCCAAGAGGGTTTGTGCAAGATATTAGAAGTCTGTTAAAGAATCATTTCAAGATAAGAGAATGTTCGGGAAAGTAATTGACTATAGGATCTCTAAATTATAATTATTTTCGTTAAGAGTTAATACCGAAATTATTTGGTTAAGAAATTACAAAAATGCCCTTAAAAGGTAAAAATAGTCCGAGTTAACTCTGAATAGGAAAGTAACCTGAGAATTTGTACTAAAACCGATAAATTACTGATTTGATTGTTTAGATCCTACATTTGTATGGAAAATTCCTGATAATTCGTTAGTAACATCTGAAAAGACTTTTAACCTGGAAATATCCGATTTGAGAATAAATTATCAAGGGTGTTTTTTTTGTCAGAACTATTCAAAAGGACTAGAAAAAATGATACGTTTGAATTAAATAATAAGATCAGGTGAATGGAAAGGATTAAAATACATCGGATATGTAAGAATTGTTCGATGGGATTAACATAAATGATAAGTTTGAATTTAATAATAAGATCGGACAGAATGAATGAATTATTGTACTACAATGGATCTGTAAAATGACTAGAATACCCTTAGAATGTAAATGACTAAGAATATCACTAAGCTCAGTAATGAGTGGATATCCTCGAGCTCTGAAATGAATGGAATAAGACTGAACACCAAAATGACCAAAATACCCTTATGGCCTATACTAAGTAAATGTATTGGACTAATTAAGGAATCCAAATAAGCATAGGTGTTGGACTACATTTAGAAGTTATGGAACACAACTTAAGTGAGTTAATCAATCTTAATGATATGTCAGTACCTGAACGGCATAGATGTTACTTGAATGCGTGTTCGTCTTCTCAAGTGTGGTTCGATGATAATTTTGAAAGTACTCAGCTCAGCTCAACTCTAGATCGCATTCGATAATAAGAAATGGATATTCGTTATACAAATCAACCACGAATACCAAATTAAATTAAACGAAAGTATAATATGTATATGAAATTCAGAAACGTCTGGATTACCCTGCCGAAGTAATTGTAATAGACTTGACTGCTAAATAAATTAAGTAACCTCAAGGACTAAGGATTAAGTAAGTGATTTGGATGAGTCTGGAAACGTTAATGAACATACATTATGTAATGTTCTTATGGATCATGAACTACAAATCAAACACATCAGCAGTTCATGATATAGTGAAAGCGTGAACATAAAATTAAGAGCATTGGAATATCTGTTAGTCTCCTTAAGAACTGTTCAGTGATGACTCGGAAGATTATCTATGGATAATAATATTTGGTATTAAAGAGTAAATACCCTGGAAGGTTAATGAATTGACAAGTTGATAAGTATTGTTTCTAGGAGCTATTCATATGGAGTTGTTCGATAAACTGATTAATTGACATAGATTGTAAAGGTCTTGAACCTTCATTTCTTCCCTATCAGCTCAAGTCTCATTCTGAATAATTGGTGATTCCATCAGTTATTGATCTCTTCCAATAGTGATTATACCTTCTGGTATTCTATCAGCATACTGAAAATCTGTGTTTCTCTTCCTGATAAGATTATCCAATATCTCTGAATAACATCTGAAAACTCTAGTGTGTTCCCTATTCACATGAATAGTTTATATGATTTTCGATTTGGATTTTGATATGATACTTGACCTGGATTTTGATATGATACTTGATGTAACACCCCCAACCCGTATCCGACCCGGATACAAGTCCGAAGTGTCACATTGTCTTTTCAAACATTTATTCATATAAAATAGTGAGTAATTTAAAAACTTTTATAACATTGAACTTATTCAAAACGTTTACAAAACTATTCAGAGTTTATACAATATATTCTTTTGATTACATGCCAACTAAAACTTTATTTATTAAAATACGTATTATTCACCTCTTTTTGATCTGACATTTGGTAAGGAGAACTGACCTGTCTTGCTCCTTATTGCTCTTTACTCTTCTCGAAACCTACGTGTGAAACAATCACACGCTAAGTCGTTGACTTAGTGAGGCATATAAACATATAATAAAAACCATAGAACATTTCATATAACAAAACACATACCTGTA